GTCGGTGGGTGTACGTATACGCGCCGGCCCGTGAGGAACTTGACCTTGAGCTGCCAGCGGCTCTCGTCGTGGACGAAGAGCTGGACGAACTGCAAGGGGAACAGTCTGGGGGCAGAGGGCGCTGGGTCAGGCCTCGCGTTCCTCCCTCGCCCTTTCCTGCAGCGGGTCCCAGGTTTTCACAACCATCCCCGGCTTCCCTCCCGCCATGGGTCGCAGTGGGTCGCAGTCGCTAAGATCCCACGCCGAGTCAAGAGTCAAGTTCCGGTTAGTGGGTCGTGGGCCGGCGCAGACCCCAACAACCGACCTTCCGACCAGCAGAGCCTCTCGGTCTTCCCAGTCCTAGCTGCAGACCCCACGTGCTCCAGCAAGTATCTTAGGGGCCCTGGCTCCATGCTTTCTCTGGGGCCTAGTCCTGCTTCCAAATCTTGGTGGCTCCCCCTCTAGAATGTCTCCCCAGGGGGCCGGCAGGTGGTGTGGTGGTTAAGGGTGCTGGACTCCCACATGGCGGACCACACTGTGAGGCCCTGACCCGACAGCTTGCTTTCTCACTTTCCCTTTCTCTCACTCTCTCGTCAGATCGAAAAATAATAATAGAGGAATAAATTCTACTAAAAAAATCTATCCCCAGGGGGACCAGCAGTTGACATAATGGCTGTGTCGCTGGATTCCCATGTAGTCGACCAAGTCCCAGACCTGGTGGCTTAAACTCACACCAGGCACGTGTGAGTGCGTGCCCAAGATCCAGAGAGGAGAATGGAGGAGAAGGGATTGCAGTGTGGCCATCCCCCCTGGGGGGGCGGTGGTGATTTCTCGCTTTCTGTCTCTCTGTCTCTCTCTGTCTTCCTGACAAGTGCACATGCTCTATAGCAAAAACCTTTCAAAAAAAAAAAAAAAAGTATCCCCAGGACCAGCAGGTGGTGAAATAGTTATGTAGCTGGACTCCCACATCAGTGATTGTGGTTCAAGTCCTGGGTCAGGCGGCTTAAAAAACTCATGCCGGGCACATGTGTGTGCATGCCCAAAATCCCAAGAAGAGAACGGAGGAAAATGGATTGTGGTGTGACCATCGTGGGAATGCAGCGACATAAGCATTCCGCCATCTGCTGGTCACTCCCAGGCCTACCTCCTAAGCCCTCTCATCAGCCTGGGTCCCAACTCAGTTGCTTCCTATAGCCAGTTCCCCATGGGACGCCAGAGATGAAGGTCAGCTCCATCCTGCTCAGAGCTGTTCTGGGGCACCCTCAGTCCCTGCACCGCCAGCCACACGGGCCTCCTGCCCTGCTACCTCTCTCTCCAGCTACCCCATGGCCACCCCAGCATCCCCCTCACCCAGGCCTTTTCACGACCGCCCGGGCCTACCACAGCTGCACCCCCTGGCAGCCCCCTCTCTGTATAAACCGCCATCTGTCTATTCGGTCTGCTGTCCCCGCAGTGTGAGTTCACTGAGGGCTGCTCCCCCACGCTCTGAGCTGCCACACGGCAGGTCTTCATGGATGCCTGTGGACGATTTCAGTGAATGAACTGCTCAGGCCCCTGGTCTAATTCAAGATCCAACCAGGCAGCGGGTGAAACCAGTCCTGACCCGGCTCCACAGCTGGGATTTGAAACCCAGTCCTGCTGACTGCACCACGTTCTCACAGTGACACTGGTGGCCACATCTCCCACCCTGGCCTACCACCAGCACTCTAGGAATTGGCTTTTCAGATGGCCTTCCACCTGTGCACAGTCTCACAGATGTTCCCTGCTCCCCTGGCTGTAACCTGACACACATGAAACCTCAGTGCCCTGCAGGTGGAAGAACATCGGCCATTTACGGGGCGCTCCCTCTGCTCCAGGCCTGTCCTAACGTGCTTTACAAACACTCTGTTTGCTCCCCTGCCAGTCTTAGAATGTGGGTTCTCTTCTCATCCCTGTCTTTTATTTTTGAGAGATTTTGCTGTGGGGTGCATGGTCTTGCTAGAGAGAGACAGAGAGACAGAAAGCAAGAAATCACCCCTTAGAGGGGATGGCCACACCACAATTCCTTCTCCATTCTCTTCTTGGGATTTTGGGCACACATATCTGGTGTTAGTTTTAAACTGCTGGGTCTGGGACTCGAACAGTGGTCGACCCAGTGGGAGTCCAGCGATGTAACCATTACACCCTTTGCTGGTTGTTCATCCCCATTTTCTAGATGAGAAGGCGCACACACAAACAGGTAGGGAGCTTGGCCTACACCGTGAAGCAGTGAAGGCAGGACTGGAGCCCAGGCTGTCCAAAGGTGGACGTCCGCTCAAGGGCATGCCCTGCCATGCTGCACGACAGGAGGCGGGACACAGCTTGGTGGCCAAGGCAGGGCTTGTTTGGCTGGTAATGTCTGGGGGCGGCCACAGCAGCAGGGCAGGAGTGTGAGCTCTGCAAAGCTGAAGTCACGTGGGAAGGCCCCAGGTTTGTGCCCCAAGGTAAAACCCTACACGTGGATGGACATGCATGTGCCCACGATCCTGGCTGGTCACACCTTTGGAGAGTCAGGACATGAAGACCCTGTTGGGGTCCTGGTCTCTCTCATGGGAGAAATGGATAAATAAACTACAAAGAAAAGGCATGAGGAGCCTGAGGTCTCAGACCCAGCCCATCCTGGCCCACTGTGGGTCCCTGGACAGGCAGCTCCTCCCTCAGCCCCAGTTTGTTTCTGGAGGACGAGGCTGAGGACCCCCACTGTGTGAAGACAGACCTCAGAGAGAAGATCTCAGATCACGTGCCTGACTCCTGGCACACAGCAGGCCCTGGGCGCCCTCCCACTCCTGAAGGCGGGACAGAGGACTGCCTCCCCCGTGCCTGTCGAGTCCCTCATTTTTGGTCCCTACGGACTGCTCTGTCCTCGCTCTCCTGGGTGGACAGCAGTCTAGAGAGGGCTGGCAGCCAGCTGAGTCTCGCCGCCCTGGTGATGTCAGGGTGAGAGGAGGCCCCCACCCTAACTCAAGATCCAACCAGGCAGAGGATGAAACCTGTCGAGAGAGTGGGTGTCCCGGCCCAGGGCCACAGCTGGGACTTGGACGTGCTGCTGGGGTCTGAAGGGAGCGGCCGAGGCCGAGGTGGGACAGTCACCCGAAAAGCTGCAGGCGTCCGTTCTCCTTGGCTGGGCCTGCCAACAGCAGCAGGTCTGGGAGTTCCAGGGCAGGACTGGAAGCTGCCACCCCCATGGTGACTTTGTTGGCGACTTCTCCCAGCCGGGTCACCTGGACCACAGATCAAGGTTAGAGGCCGGGTAGCTGGGGACGGGAGCAGACGTGGAGAATCTTGGTAGGGTATGAGGTCATGAGGAGGGGAGTCAAAAATCAGGCGGGGGCCAGATAGCTTGGGGTTAAGTGTCAAGTCTGGGAAACTGAGGCAAGGGGCTCAGAGGCCAGGATCACAGAGAAGCTGAAGGGTTGGGAGCTGTCAGAGGTCACGTGGGATGGGCTGGAGGTCAGGAATTCATGAGAGGACAGTTACAGGGGACCGGGCAGGAGAGCCGGGGTCCCCGCGTCTGGGGGCCTAGGGAGCAGAGGCTCTGGGGACGGAGGGCCGGGCCCTGCGGCTCCACACCTGCACGAAGTTGCTCTCAAAGACAGGGAGGTCCCGCAGCTGGTCGAACTCGCCGCTCAGGAGGTGGCGTTGGAGCCGCCCGGGGCGACAGAGGGATAGGCTGGAATCAGGGGGCGTTCTAGAGGGTCGGGGTTCAGGGGTCTACCCCACGAGGCTGAGCCCAGTCCCCCCAGCAATAGGGCCCGGAGCAGCCTTGCACGGAGGGAGAGGGTATCAGAAGTCTCCGAACTGCAGGTCCCATCCCTCACCTGGAGCCCTCACTGCTTCTCTCCTCAGGTCCAAGCCCTCGGGCCTGGCTCCTCCTCTCACCTGCCATCCCACCTGGTCCGCCTCACTCGCTCCACCGAGGGCCAGCTTAGGTTCAAGCCCCTGATACATCGCAATGCCCCAGCCCCTTGAGGGAGGGGAAGGAGGAGCCAGGGGACAAGGCGAGAGGGCGGGACCGCGGCACTATGACGTCACAAGGATCCGGTTGATGACGTCACAGGTAAGGGCCCAGTTGAGAGAATGGCGTCACCGCAGGGCGGCCCCTTGAAGACTTGGAGAGGCGCGGGCCCGAAGACCGCGGCCCCAGGTGCAGGCGGATGTCAGTGCGCAGGCGCACGGGGCCGGCGCAGGCGCAGGAGACTAAGATGCAGCGCGTTTCTCCCGGCGTGCTCCGCGGCGCTCGACTCACACCTGCCCCTTGGCTGGCGGGTCCGGGGCGGCGACGGCAGAGGTCCGGGG